TTTAAGCCCCCACCTTACACCGACAACACGTCTACAAGCCCACATCGAATTGCGAGCCTTGCTAACCTTGTGTTCCACATGCTCTCTCCAGTTCAGTTTGCAGTCCAGGATAATTCCCAGATATTTCACTGACTGGGACAAAACTAATCTAGTCCCAAAGAAGGTAGGCATGACCAGTCCGTCAAGCCTTCTTCTCCTAGTGAATAGGATCAGCTCGGTCTTTTCAGCATTAACAGAAAGATCGACTTCCCTACACCACGATTCCACGGAGCGCAGAGCGCCCTGCATAATTTCCGAGACTGTTCTACAGAAACGCCCCCTAACCACTATGCTTACGTCATCAGCATAGGCTTGCACGTAGACACCCATACTGCTGAGCCTAACGAGCAGTTCGTTCACCACGATACACCACAGTAGGGGTGACAGAACTCCACCCTGAGGGCAGCCTCTAGCTACGTTCACGCTGCAGCTTACTCATAGGTAACTGTGTCACCTATTTGCTCACTACACTACTGAGTTTTTCAGTAGTCTTATTTATGATTGTTTGCTTTCGGTTGTCTGTCTCTCAATGACGAGTACCATTGATTGCCTAAAAGCCATGAAACAACGTTGTATACGCTTGGCTATGGCCACAGAGACGGAAAGCGAACATATCCTATTCAGGTTGTGTTTAGTTTATGTAACTTTTGCATAGTTTGAATCGAATGTAAGAAGTAAATGAAATTAGAGGCATACCGGCCACCACGAGGCCTATGCACCGGCGTAATCCACATGACGGCCCTTTTATGCACCACTACGTTCCCTCAAATTCAAACTTCGCTCTTCTAGCAAAGTCGAGTATAGCACTGAAGTCTCAGCTTCTTAACATTCTGTGATTATTATTCTTCTCCTAGGCCCTTCTCCCTCCAGAATGCGGGGCACCCAAGCCAAAATCTGCTTGGTATGCATAATACGTCGAAGCTGATGGCATGTAGAGTGCTTAGTAGTACTCATATCACTGATGAGATGCCTATGTGGCTTGCGAAACTTGTCTGTTTCATTCAAGCGGGCTGTCAATCATGAGATGTTGGGAAACTGTGTAGTTTTCTGCTACGGACGTAGGAGTCGGTAGTGTCGCGTTTGGGGAACTAATGATACAATTTAACATTTGCCGCCACAAAACAAAGGAAAACACACAAGTCCTCGTATCAGACTTCCAGATCACCCGCTCACTCGCTCGCATTCACCGAGTCCGCAATCATACATTACTCTCTTATATGCTTTGCAATTTCATTTCCTCGGCCATACTCCAATCACCTAAAACAACGATGGATTATTCGATTGACATGAATTTTTTTATTCGAAAGATAATCTTGTGGCATTACATTTTAAATATGATTTCTGGCATATGACTGCCACGGCTGGCTCGGATGTAGGCCAATCTGGACGTCCAATTTTCGATGACTTTTTCCAACATTTGTGGCCGTATATCGGCAGTAACATGGCGAATGTTGTCTTCCAAATGGTCAAGCGTTTGTGGCTTATCCGCATAGACCAATGACTTTACATAGCCCCACAGAAAATAGTCTAGCGGTGTTGAATCACAAGATCTTGGAGGCCAATTCACAGGTCCAAAAGGTGAAATTAGGCGGTCACCAAACGTGTCTTTCAATAAATCGATTGTAGCACCAGCTGTGTGACATGTTGCGCCGTCTTGTTGGAACCACAGCTCCTGGACATCATGATTTTTCAATTCAGGAATGAAAAAGTTAGTAATCATGGCTCTATACCGATCACCATTGACTGCAAGGTTCTGGCCATCATCGTTTTTGAAGAAGTACGGACCAATGATTCTACCAGCCCATAAAGCGCACCAAACAGTCAGTTTTTCTGGATGTAACGGTGTTTCGACATAGACTTGAGGATTAGCTTCACTCCAAATGCAGCAGTGTTGCTTGTTGACGTAGCCATTCAACCAGAAGTGCGCTTCATCGCTAAACAAAATTCGCTTATGAAAATCGGGAACAACGGCAATCTCGTTTGGGGTCCATTCAACAAATCTACGCCTTGCTTGATGATCGTTTGGCTTCAATTCTTGCACGAGTCGAATTTTGTAAGCAAGCAAACCAGGATCCTTCCGCAAAATCTTCCATAAAGTGGACGGACACAGATCCAATTCCTGTGCTCGATGGCGGATGGACTCATTCGGGTATTCCTCAATGCTACGCTCTACAGTAGCAATAGCTTCTTGTGTACGCACCGTAAGGCGTCTCTGGGGATGCGAGTTATCAATTAGAGTAAACATGGTGCGAAAACGTTCCATGGTTAATCGGATTAACTGCTCTGATGGACGATTTTGTCGACGATAAAATAGACGTAGTGCGCGATACGTATTCCGCACAGAACCATTATTTTCGAAATAAAACTACACAATTTGCAAGCGTTGTTCAGGCGTGAGTCTATTCATGATGAATTGCCAAACCAAACTGAGAATAAATCACTTGACAGCTGTCAAATCGGTCGCCATCTTCAAAAGTAATGCCAACTTAAAGTCCTATACCTCAAAAAACACCCTTTACTTCCCCTTCTTTCTGACTAGCATCCCGCTTTTTCTGCGATTGTCTTGATTTTTCATTTTAATTTTCCGTTTTGTTATACGCTCTCGCAATCTTCCATTTGATCCTACAGGTGGCAATGTCATCTCGTGAAAGGAACTTCACTGTCCTTGACTCCGTCGCGTTTTACGATGCTTAACAGACCCTTTGGGATTTTGTTCTCCATCCTAACTCTGTAGAACACGTTAGGTATATCAAGAACTCTGAAAAACTGCATGAGTAGATTTTTCCCATTTATATACTGAGTGACAAAAAAAGGTAAACACCTACTACGTATGTTTATTAGAATTCAAGAATTGTTTACATATCGATTTAATTTGCCATGAACAACAAGTGATATAATGGTCAGGTTTTTTTGTTAAGTTTCTGTGGTGGCTGTGTGTATTTTTTGGTGATAAAGAAGCATTCAGTTTTTGTACATTTACGATGTCAGTTACATGTTAAATTTCGTGTAGCTTATTGAGAAGCCTTTTTGTGATTGCTCAAAATGCTTAGCCCTTAACTACCATGGCCAAAAACAGTAACATTTATACCATGGCAGGGTCAAATTTGACCCCATTGTTTTTTTTTCACATAAAAAATCTGATTTTGTAGGTTGTTTTTATGTTGTCATCTTGTTTTCAACTAGTTTTACAATTTTATAAAGTAAAACGAATATTGTTAGTTATAACTTTATTAAAAAAAAACTTCGGTATCCAGTGAGATTAACAAAGATGGGCACTTTCTAAAATTATAAGAAAAATTATAAAAAAATTCAGTTTTCTTGCATTTAGTGGTGAATTCTAGGTATCATACGAGCCCCTTCCCACTTCAGTTGGCCCACTTCAAGATTTGTACCAAAACATGCCTTTATAAACTAATCATGACGAAACTATTTACTTCTAAAACAATTTATTTTCTCAAAAACATTTTAGATACACTCTAGTCGTAAAAAATACATATTTGAAATCACTTAGACCTATAACTAATAGATCATCTGAACAAATAAACAATGTGCGAATAAATGCGCGAAGTTAACAAAGCAACAATTGAAAGATTACCATTGGGTAACATCACCTTTATTTTTTATTACGGCTGAAATTCTTTGGGGCATAGTGTTAATCAAGTTTTGCCAAACATTTTTTGAAGCTTTTGTCTCAGTTCGGTGATTGTACGAGCAGGATGTTGTCGTAGAACCTTTTTCATCTCGTGCCTCAAAGTTTCAATAGGTGACAGATCTGGACTGCTAGAAACCCATTTCAAAAGTGGAACATTATTTTCTTCCATCCATTTTATAGCCTTTTTTGAGATATGGCACGCTGCACGCGATGTCAAACATTCTTCCATCACTGGTAAAAGCGATTCTTCTAAAATTGCCAAATATTTGTTTGTATCTACATTTCCATCAATAAAATGAAGTTTTCCTACTAGTTTTGATGACATACTGCCCCAGACCATAATGAATGCTGGAAATTTCACTTTTCTCTTCAGACAGTCAACATGTAATGCTTCATTTTTTTGCGAATAACTCTACTGCGACTGTCACCAACACAAACTTCGAATCGGGCCTCATCACTCCATTGTATTGCACACCATTGTTGAGGTGTAAATTGTCTATGTTCTTTAGCCCATCTAAGCGGATTTTTCTTTTGCAGTGGAGTTAATAGTGGCTTTTCTTTCGCCTATAAACAAGTTGTGCAACTTTAGGGTTTTTACTTCACTTTTTTTATAAGAAACCCTTGCAAGTGCTAAATCTCAGTTTGTGGGCCTCTCTATGAGTTTTGGACCTCGAAATTCTCCTTACTCCACAGAGCACTTAATTGTATATAATTGGCACGCCTGTTTTTCACGATTATTCTTCTTAATGCTCTTTGGTCGATATTTGTGATATTAATTTTTTTCACATATCGTGGCTTAATATTAACTAAACCAGTTATATTATATCTTCTAACAATATTTCTCACACTGTACCGCGATAAGTCTAACAAAGTTGCAATTTCTGAGTTTGATTTCCCAGAATTAAAAAATTTAATTATCAGTAACCGAATTTTCTCACTAATAATCCATTTTGAAAACCTTAACTACCCAAAACTATTTTAAACGTATTCTGACAGCTGTGATTAATAAAAACAATTGTCATGGCTTTTATTTTTCACAGCTACCTATGCGTTATAGACTTATTTTGCATTGAAATGAAAATAGGTTGATATGCTGTAATTGCAACATGTGTTATTTATGCGGCAAATTTGATTAGGGAGTGATAAAGTTGGTGTTTTCTACTATATGTTATCAAAATACTCATTGTTAATATTTTAAACCTATAACACCCTGCTACATTTTTATTATTTGTGTTTGAAAAGAAAAAACTAAGATTTCAATACACTGCAGTGGGAAGGGGCTCGTAGTTGCTACCTAAGATAAAAAAGTTGATTTAGTTTTCGTATCTGAAAAATGACAAGCATGTTTTTGACCTTACTTTTCAACACAACTTATGCATAACGTCTTCGTGCTAGCATGATTTTTGCAAATAAATTCTCGACATTTATCGCACGATGAGCTTTTTTTCTTTTGATTTTTAGAATATGGCCATATTTTACACCTTCCCCTCCACTGGTTCCTGAAGTCCGGAACTTTAAAATGACACTAGTTCTCTCGGTAAATATGCTGAGCTCTACGAGTCAAATGGTCCTTAATAAGTTCTTGACCTAAAGTGGTTAGAAAGAATTTTTTGCGCCTCCGCTTAATGTTCTTTCTGTGTCACTACACCCCGCTATTTCAAATTACTCGGTACTCGCACTAGAAAAACTTATACCATAAACGGGTCAAATTTGACCCTACATGTGCCTAAATCTGCAGTGGTAACAGATAAATTAATGGAATTTTTGTGGATCGATAAATCACCTATCATAGTGGAGCCTTATCTTATTCTAACGTATACCTAAACACCATCCAAATCCCGATTTTTCAGCAAGAGAATGCCAGACCGCATGCTGCCAGAGCATTGTTAGCCTTCATGGATCAACATCGCATCAACCGTTTACCTTGGCCACCACGATCGCCTACACACCCTACACAGACTTTACCAGCTCTTACTCACGAAGTTGTAGTAGCCTGAAATGAGACACCCCAACAGGATATCGACCACCTTATCAGCACGTGTCCATGCGTGTATAAGAAATACCACTATTTCTCAACACATTATTGAACCAGCTTCTGCAGTAAGTTGACGAATCGAGCTGAAAATTTGCCAATTTTCCTAGTACGGGACAGTGAACATAAATGCCAAAAATTATTAAAAACGGATAATCATACGCAGGTGTTTACCTTTCACTCAGTATATAACTTTACTTGTTCCAGTTTCTTGATAAAAAATCGCAGTTGCCCTATCCGCCCATTCGTGGGAAGAAAACCACTTTCCTTAAAATAGGTTGCCCTTTGTGGTCGTGACCTCAATAACTACAACAGGCTAATAAGATGGACACTATTATATAAATAGAATCCTTCAAGAAAGCCCTATACTTACCCTGCCTTGCGGTTTACCGAACTGTTTATAATTCTTGCATCTTGCACATTATACCTGATTATGTACATATAACAGACGGAAACGTGGTTTTAAGATATTATAAAAAGCAAATTACACGGGTCTACAAATAAAATGCGGCAATTATGTGAGTCAACCACCTGTTTCGGCATTTTTTTGAAGCGTGAACAGATCACAGTTAAACTACAGCAGCTCACACTTGTAAAAGGAACAAGTATAGAAAGCAGTGGTGTAGATGGCAATAATAATCATGAATGGATCCGTTGTAGGATTCTTTAATTTTATTTGAACTGAGATACTTACGAGGGCCATACCTAAATGCCTTGGTACCACGGCTGTTACATTTAAGCTAGAGCTAGAACGAGAGAAATATTGTTTGGAAATGAATAAGATCATTAGACCCGGGCAAAATTTCTTCTGATGGTAGATAAAGGAGCGATCCTACCTAAAAGTGTATAGAGATTTACTAAGGTTTGATGTGAGAGAAGCATTTTTTTGAAGAAGCATTCGCGATCAGTCGAATGATTGCTTTCCTCTAGAGATGACATAGTGCCGATTTTTTTTTGACATTATATTGATTTTTTGTGACATTATGTAGGTTTTTCTACAAGATGTTGACTTAGCCCTAGTTGATGGAGACGTTGTGAACTCGTTTTGTAGTTGTACGTGTTGCCTAAACGTCATGAGGCTTCATTATGAATTTTTGGCTTTGGTGTGATGTAAAATCTGCTTCAGTGATGGCATTACTGGAGGTATCGGCATAATTCCGTTGTATTCTTGTCTCAAATACACTTACTTGAGATCAAAGGTAGAAATTAGTTGTGCATCCAGTTCTCATTATCCATTCTGGAAAATTTGAGGAATTTAAAAAATGAGAGAGATAAGAAATAATTATATTCACTGTACACTGTCATATACATGCTACCAATAATTACACAGAACGCGGTCGCGTTGATTTTCCGTAATTCTCCTCAAAGTTTTTGAAAAGACAGAAAAACGTAAAAAATCGTATTTATAACTTTGAACATAACCCTGTCTTCAGAAACGACAACATATAAATAACCCGTCGGGCACAGCTAATAGATATACTTCATTGGCAGCATATTCAGTAATGATTTTCTCACACAGCAAATATCACTGTTTTTATACCCAGACCAATACACCCAATCATCTAGATGCTATTCAACCAACAGTCTTCTCAGAGATGAAAACTATAGACTACTCGGCTTCGCAAAACATATGCAGCCAACAATGCGTGTAGACGTGTAGTAGAGCCATTTATCCATAGATGGACGCTCGCAACGATCCTAGTGACCAAACGTGGAATGACTGTTCGCACCCTAAAAACTACCTAGTCTGCAAGATGACATTTTGTAGGTTTTTTTACGTTTTATAGGTTTTTTACATGACAGTTGCAATTTTGGCATTGGCATCCATTAGGCGGAGAAAGGGTGGGGGGCGCACGCCCCTGGCTTCCACTCAAGGAGTAAAATACTCGTATTCTCAATATGGTACCCGGTTTTAGATTAATGAGTAGCGTGCATGTTTTTTTAAGACATCGCTACATGGCATTTATTTTTTCTTCCACTGATTTAAACAAAACATCTGCTTCAAACGGGTTGACTGGGCATGTAAGCCTAACCTTACCCCTCTTCCATTTTTCTATGTGGATGCCATACATTTTTGGGACATATCAGTGTTCGTTGTAAAAATTATGATCCTGAGAATATTTTTTGTAGAGACGAAATTCTAATTAAGGTGGGCGAGACCATTCTGCATACAAGCATCAGTATCATAAATGTGTAAAGGTACGTTTCCATTACAATTTATTTGTTTCGCAAATATGCTGTATGTTGTTATATGTGCCAGAAATTTGTTGGAATGTAAGCAGTCTGTAACACTTTGCAAAGCAAGTGGCAGAGACAAAATACGATAAGTAACTGTAGTATCGCAACTTGTTAGAATGCAAGCATCCACTACAAAACGTTGCAGATATCGAATTAAGTTTTGGGCGCATCTTTAATTCTACACAAAATTGTTTCTATTACATTTTTACATAGGATCGATAGCTTCCGAGATTTTCGATCAAACGCGCTTATCAAAATGACAGAGAATCTCCCAGCCTTATCATGATGCCATTTTGAACTTGTGATAAGGAAGCAATAATCTAACGATGATACCAGAAAAATTTACTGTTGCCAAAATTGTCGGATTTCCGTATACAAGATTTTCCTATTTCTTGGGCTACTAGGTATTACAGCTAAATAGTGAAGCAAAAATAGTGCGGGTTCAAAGCGTCATAACGAGTTTCGAGCAACATATGCAACGTGTGTGGTAACATGTGCTTGTAACTTGTTAGATCGGGAACGCACCTTGAAGAATGCCTGCACACAAAAGCAGCATGTTTGTATGAACGCCATTGACTATATGCAGGAAGATAACAATTTCTCCTGTCATTATTTGTTTACGTTTACGTTGACGCCTACATATGGAGTAAATGGCACCTTGAAAACCACAAAAGAAATACCAGTCTACCCACAAACCGTCACATAAAAATAACACCTTGTGATGCCTTTTGTGCACCAGGGCCTGCTTAAAAAGGGTACCTGCGTACCGAGCATCCGCGCACTTGATTGCGTCGCCTTTTGTTGGGAGATGTCAGAATGGCTGATCTTTTGCGAGGATACAAAGGGGTATAGGTGCGTAAATCAGATCTTAGAGACATTTTGTTAAGCTTTGACTTTTATATGTCTGTGCATGGATGGTATAATGCGTTGTACTTTTCAATTTGTGTCATGATTAAAATCTGGTAATTCATACCGTGGACGAGAGTTGGCTTTTATTAGACAAAACAAAGCTGGTAGTTTATTTGCAAAAAATATTTTCAGCCTGCGTCCGATTTTGTAACAGTTAGATTACATTTTATCACCACACAGTGCCTAAGAATACTAACAAGTAGATGGCACGGCGTTGATGTTGGCAATTTGGCTCAATTTTTTTGTGGCGATACAGTGCTAAGTACACCAAAATATTCAAATATTAAGGCGGACCATTCGTAAAGTCTCAAAATATTTTTTTTCGAACGATGTTGACATTAGACTATAATAGTGTTTCTCTTATTTATTTAATGGGTCGAGTTATGGAGCTCAAATTCGGGCTGATTATATTAACGCATGGATACTATATCCTATAGTAAAAATAACAGTTGAACATTTCCAGATGGCGGCTGGGGGCTATCTTGTAATATTTTTAAATAGAATTGGGGCATAGTGATACCTCGTTATAAGTGACTCAATTTACAGAAACGCTCAATTTTGACAGCGCGGCAGATCGCCATTTTGGAAGGTAGTGATTTTTGTCGTATGGTCATAAAGTAGCCAAAAGGTGCTTCAAAGTGAGGTACCACGCCACCTCATTCTATTCAAAAAAATAAATATAGTATTTTGGGTAGGTTAAGTAGTGTAGCCAACAGCTAGACTTCGCCTACGTGGAGGTCACATTATATTGTAGTTTTTATAATGTGCCTAATGAAGAAATTTTATTATTATTATTATTATTATTATTATTATTATTATTATTATTATTATTATTATTGTTTATGCATCAATTTCATTACTCATGTCAGCTTTCTAACTTGAACCGTTCAAAAAATAAGCACTGGACTTTTTTGAAAAGTAAAAGTACTAGAAAGCTATAAACTAATGTTTTTTAAACATTTTTGAATAGTATGCCTTAATATTTTAATATTGTGATTAACTAAATACGATATATCACCACAAAAAACTTGAGACAAATCGCCGACCTCAAGGCCGTGCCGTGCCGTCTCCTTGTAAGTTTTAATCACATGTAACGACGCCTGTCGATGGATGGGTTGACGAGTGGCGAGATTAGTCATCGCAACGCTGCCAGATGGTTGGTGCTGTCGGTAGTTAAGGGAAGAAATTTCTAGACACTAACGTTGTCAAATAGGTGGGGATTCTGGACTAATTGCATGGGCTTGTTTGACTTATTACCATTTAATTTTTCATGTACATGTTCATAGATACATTTTTTACAAGTGCTAATTTTTGCTGAACACAATATGTAATGAGCTGATGATGGCGTTACATGGGAAGTGCAGGGTCACTGTACTAGATGCCATTTTTCTGCTGATCCTTTATCACCGCTCTTATCACACATGAATGAAAAAGCACATAACGTCAAAATAATCCAGGGTGCGCCATCTTTTATGTCGGTTTGTAAATATGAAATAACTTTGAAAACGAAAAACTGATTTCTATATATCGGGTATTTTTATTAAATATGGTGCTTTACAATTTATTGGGACTAGTTATTGAACACATCTATCAAGTGGTCACCTTTATTGTCCAAAACAAAATATACTTGGGGGGTGACTTTGAAGTTGAGTCATTAATTTTCAGATAATGATTGTAGAAGGAAGATAAACCAAAATATGTGTGTAAAAATAAAAAAAAATAAAAAAAAAATTTTTACCTTGTTTTATAAAGTATCCTCCCGACAAGTATTTCAGTGCGGACCTGTATTTGATCGTG